AGTCAATGAATGAACTGGGCATGTTTAGCCTGGAGAAAAGAAGATTCAGAGTGTACATAGTAGCAGTCCTCAAGTGTTTGAAGGACCGTGTGGAGGAGAAATTGGACTTGTTCTGTTTGACTCCAGGAGCAATGGATGGAAGTCTCAAAGAGGTAAATTTAAACTTGATGTCAGGAAAAACTTCCCACCAATTTGAGCTATTCAGAGGATAGCATAGAATTCCCTAGGGAATGGCTTGTCTTGAAGGCATTTCCCCTTTGTGTCAGTCTTCAAGCAAAAACTGGACCATCATTTGTCAGATATTATATAGTGGGGTATAGCGAAGTTTACAGAAAAACTTGGCAAGAGATCCAGTTAAGCCAGATCACTTCACAAAAGGATAAAAATGGAAGGACAAGAAACAAGCAAAATGAAGATCTGTCAATATTTCTATAACTTTTCCCATCATTGACAATGGAGCACCCTTATTTGTAGTCTAACATCACAATCTGCCACATGTGTATAGGGAAGTAGAGATGGCACTAAAGAAAAGAAAGACCAGTTTGACTAGATCTAGTCAATACATAGAAAAAGTTCATGCTAAGTTAACACAATTTTGTAGGTATTTACAAGATATCTGAAAGAGTGTAGGATACAAAACACTTAGGAAAAAAAGACAATTAAGAAAATATCAATAACTACATACTTTTCCGTATCTACAAAATTTTATGATGATTATGTATGGAAAGTGTCCTTGTTGAAGGTATATACGATAAAAGAACAGAAAGTTACAAGTGGTTCTACCTATTCTTATAGTCGCACAGTTTACTAAAAAGTACAGATGATATAAGATAAAAAAAATTTTGATTTGCTAAATCAAAATGCTGCCTTGAGGGTTCTTTTTCCACAAAGTGTTTTCCGTATCATATATCAAAATCATATGATATTCCTTGAAAAATGTAAAAACAGAGAATACTTTACTCAACCTCCTGATTATTGATATCATTTGAGTAAAAAACCAAAGTGACGTATGTTTGCCAAAGGTGTCATGGAGAGTCCAGATGACAGAGAAATTACCCATGAATGGTGATGTCCTCCAGATGCTTCTATTTGTGAGTGACTTTACGCTGATTGCATCAAGCCTTGGAATATTGCAGAGCATCCTAAATGAAATCCATAGTCATGCAAAAGAATTTGGCCTAACATTCACACAGGAAAAAACAAGTAGATAAAGACTAGCCATTGTGCCAGACTATGATAGGCAATTGGATGGACAACCTATGGAGTTGGTCCATTAGTCCATATATCTGGACAGACACTGCACATGGACACGGAATGGAGCCCATAGTTGAATAATAGGAAACCAGCAGGCTGGATTGCCTTTGGGAAATCACACAATGCTTTTAGTGACCCCAAGTTTCTCATTGAAACAAGAGACTAAATTTTTAACTCCATTATTCTTCTGGTGTTTAAATTAAATCAATTTCACATTAAATATTCCCAGTCTCTGAGGAATTAAAGTTGCAGGTCACATGAAGGGCAATGGAGAGATATTTAGTGGGCATAAATATACTGTAGCACATTACCAATAAATCATACATCAGAAGTGGCATAAAAGATACAACTAAAGAGATGTAAGACCAGAAAAGGATGTGGGTTGGTCATGTAGCAAGACCAAGGGATAACAGGTAGACAACTTAAATGCTACACTGTATCTGTTCAATGTCAGGATATAAAGAGGAAGGTCCTCAGCATGTTAGGTGGAGTCTCTGGGGTGGATTTATGGGAGGACATGCACAAGAGTTAAACAGTTAGGTGGCACCGTGAATAGAGTGCCAGGTCTAGAGTCAGGAAAACTTATCTTTGTGGGTTCAAATCTGTCTACTAGCCAGATACTAAATGTGTGACCCTGGTCAAGTCACTTGACCCTGTTTGCCTCAGTTCTTCATCTGTAAAATCAGCTGGAGAAGGAAATGACAAACCATTCCAGTATCTTTGCCAAGAAAACCCCAAATGGGGTCATGAAGAGTCAGACACTACTGAAACAACTGAACAACAAGATGCACCAGAGTCACATAGGATGAAAGGGAGTGAATGTGATCTGCAGTATTGAAGGGAGTACCCACATTGACAAGATGACATCCTAGATCCATTGCAATATCCAGAGTTGGATGTATATTGCCAGGGTATCATGGTTTGTGCCTGGAGCACATTGATTTCACTGTCAGATTGTCATTTTCTAAATAAAAACTTTATCTTAATATCTTAGACCTTTCAAACAAAATATGATTACTTTTATTATAGTGGCTTATAAAGCATTCTTTGGGATTACTAGATCAGTTGAATTTTTCTAAAACATTTATTTTATATAATGGAATATTTGCAAATTTTTATACAAAATGTCTGTTTCCCTTACTTCCCCCTCCCCCACAAAAAGATAATCCAAGCAAAAGGTTCTCAAAATGAAACTGTTGTGAGCACAGACATGGTCTTAGAGTATGGAGGAAGAAACCTGAAGGGTACAACCCATATCTCCCTAATTTATAATCCTTTCTGAGTAGTGTCTTGGTTCTTGTTTTAGGAGTTTCATTTCATTCATTTTAAGACTATCTTCTTCCTCCCGAAAAAAGTGTTCTGAGCAATATATTAAAATCAGAATACTGGTCATAAAATTGATTTATGGTCTTTTGCAAGCATCTTCATTCAGCATGTCTCTGTGTGTGTCTCTGTCTCTTTGGACACTTAGCTTATCACTGTTTGTGCCACATTAACATCTAATTATCTCCACGTTGTGCTGAATGTAAAGATTTGACAAGTAGATGGAAAGTTTAGTTAATAGAATCTTTAACATGATTTAGAACTCCAAATCTTCCTTAGATTGTCAGATAGTAAAAAGTTGAGCCTTTCCATATTTTGAAGGTTATTTAAATTCAAGCATATAAAGTTATATGGAACAATGGTGTTGTAAATTAGAATGTGGTATTGACTTGCATATGCTTGTACCATGTAGTCATACAAAATTGAGGTTCAAAATATAATAGTATAAAATTGACATTTAATTCAGATTCTAGTCAGTTATTTTGTTTGATTAATCTTTATTTATATGAATTTGATATAAAATTTGGGGTATGACTATATAGGGATAGAAATTGGGACTGCATCTGTGATTCCACTGGTATAGGGAACTCCTGGTAAGGAACTTTATCTGTCAATGCAGTTTGGCTCCTCCTCTGCAACTTTTAGTCTTAAAGATGTGCCTAGAGCACAGTGAGTTTGTGACTTGTTCGAGGTCACATAGCTAGTATGGGTCAGAGATAATACCTGAATCTAGATCTTCATGGCTCCAAGAGCAGCTCTCTAATATCTCAGATCATGTTGTCTCTCATCCATATGTAGCTATATATACACACATATATGCATGTGTCATGCATATGTGTATATATTATGTGTGTATATGTTTAAAATGGAATTTAATTGACATGCAAATAAAAATTGTTAATATCTCTAAGGTGTTTTGTAAGTGGAGGTAAGTGGTTAGCAAAGCTTACATCTTATCTAACAACTTCTCCAAGTTATTTACTCTTATCATAAAACGGGACAACTACTGGTAGGTAGCAATGAGGCTCCTTACCTCTAGTCTGTCCTTGCTTCAAAAGGGAACAGGGAATAGTATACATACTTCTAGCTGTTTTATTCTTCATGTAATGATAACTCATATTACCATAGTGCTTAAAGGTTTTTGAAGCACTTTACTCAAAACAATCCTGTGAGGAAGATATTATTATCACTTTATAGGTAAAGAAGTTTGACCTTAGAGAAGTTAGGTGACTTGCTCAAGTTCACAAAGCTATTACATGTTGGAGTCAGGATTCAAACCCAGGTCTCCTGACTGGTGTTTATTCCACTTTATTATTCCATCTCACTATATACTACACTGTGGCCAAACTAGACTTTTCAGTGACTTTGCTTATGCCAATATCTTCTCCTGGAATATCACCCTTCTATTTTTACCTGTCAAAACTCCTACCTGTCCCTAATATGCCTTTCTTAGATATTCTTGAACACCAAACACAGGTATTTACAAGGAAGTACTTTATAAATATTTGCTTAATGAATGAACATTGAATTCCCATATGCTTATGCATTCCTTTGTTTCTTAGGCTCAGAAAACAAAAATTTATTGATTTGATATAAATCTGACTATTTCATCAAATCTTACCTAATTTCTTATATTAAAAGGATAAAAATGCCAAATATATTGTAAAGTTCTCAATTTCAACTTTTTTCTGGTGTGTGTTAGAATACAAGAAAAATATTCACAGTTTAACATCAGTGAGTTGGAAGGGTATCAAAGAGCAAACATAATATGCATATAAACACATTTATATTAAAAAATAATTAGGTAAGCTACGAGAAAAAGTAATACTTTCAAAGCTGAAATTGCTATAAAGTTCAAACTGAACTTTTTGGTTTTCTTCTCAGAATACCAAGGTATTTTATAAACAAAGCTTTTCACTTTCTTTTAAGTAGGTTTATATAATCCATTTTTTTTAAATGGTGCTACCCACAGAAAACAAATCTGCCCTATGCTAATATTTCTTTTGTCTTTTAGAGGAAGACTAAGTCATAGAGTCAGATTACAGCAAGTTAATTGTACAGCCAAGAAAAGACCCCAGATTTCTTACTTTGAATACATTTTTCTTGTTTATTCCATGGTATTTACAGTAAATTGGGATGCTTAGTTGTTTTTTCTTTTAGTGAATGTCACTAACTTTTTGTGACAGTATATCTTTCCCTAAATTCTTTTTAATGTAGGTAAATGGGGTAGGGGATCAGGAGCTAGAAACCTAATGTATAATATAGACATTGAGCATCCTCTCCATTTGTAGAGAAAATCTTTACTGCTGGCAATATATAAATATATATATAAAGTATATATATATCTGCCATATATATAAGTTAGAGAACATCCCTAGTTATTGAAGTTTAATTTAACTAAAATGGTTATTGTTTGTTTTTAGATTATTCATCGAGATATAAAACCTGAGAATATTTTAGTATCTCAGTCTGGAATTACTAAGCTCTGTGATTTTGGTTTTGCTCGGACATTAGCAGCCCCTGGGGACGTTTATACAGACTATGTGGCTACCCGCTGGTATAGAGCACCTGAATTAGTATTAAAAGATACTACTTATGGGAAGTAAGTATGTTTTAATATATGTTTCGCTTTTCTTCCCTTCTGAATTTTCCCATAATATGCTTTTCTGATCTCCACTCTGTCCTTCTAACAAGGCACATCTAACATGGCCAGGACTGGGAAGCATTTCTGGGTCTTGTACCTTAAGGGAGGCCCAAGAGAAACCAGCATACTACTTCTATTTCCTCTCCTGAATGGTTGTAGCAGGGATGGTAGCAGCTAGCTAGCTCAGAATCTCCTTAGAAAACATCAGTGCATACATTAAGCCTTCTATTTAGTTACCCTATTGAGTGCCTACTAGTAACTCCTTCTGCCATTATATTCTTGGAAAATTTTTATAATTAATTTACTTCACTACCAATTTAGAAATAAATTTCCAATTACATGTGTTAAGTGTTTAGTTACTATATTGATCTAATGTATGACATCTTTTTGAAATACATACATATGTACATATATGCATACATCCATTTAGGTGTAGCAGAAGTGATCAGGAGAACTCCTGATTTGACTGAGGTATCTCTTATGGAATTGTACATGCACTCTGTTCCTTGCTATTCTATATGAGGCTACTTCATCCTCTGGCCTCGACCCCTTTCCCCTTTCCAGAAGGGGTGGTTCTACTTACTAGGCCATCTTCCAGCAGACCTGCCTCTGTCATAACAGTGGAACCATAAAAGTTTGACTGGTGACTCTTTGGTGCCTATGTAACAGGATGATCATATGAGGCAAAATGTCAGTGCTATAGTATACTCAGTGTCTGAGTGGAGTGTGGGGTGTGCCTGAGGCATAGCACAGAGAATCCAGCTCAATGAATCCTGATCCTTTCAAGAGCGGTTTCAGGAGAGAGTCTTTTTAGATATAGAAAATTCCCTCAAAATATTTGAAAAAATTATTTGTGAATGCCATCATCCCTGAGTCCTGTAGTCCACATATACATATATATATGTATGTGTGTGTATATATATATATGTATGTATTTGTGTGTATGTGTATATATACATACATACATAAATATATATATATATAATACACTTCATGCATAAGACTTGGATACACACACAAATACATATACACACACATATATGTGTATATCTGTACAGACTACTGGATACTGAATAAGATAACTCAGATGGACCAGTCAGTACAGCATGCCATGTGTTCAAGATACCTCGGACTGTTAGGAGGGGATCCAGTGGTTTCCAGTATTATACTTAACACAGTGGCTATAAGCAGATCCCATTGGATCCAAGTGAGAGAAAACATTGGAAGAGAGTCCTAAAAGTCGGTGGAGCTATTTCTTCTCGTTCCTCTTATAGACCATGCACATGGACCATACCAGGTTGGCTCAAGTTCCCAAGGGGATGTAACTATGGCTGAATGAGCAAAAGGAACAGTTTCCCAGGTTACTCTAAACTGGTACAGTTGATCTGGCAGAGAAGATTCTATGAGCATGGAGAACATGCTAAGGAAACAGAAAATGGCTTTGTGGGGTACCAGGACATCTCTCAGGTATGGACTATTGAAGTCAAATAAGAGGCTACGCTGAATCACTCAGCCTGTACTGCTGAAGAACAAGATAGGTCTGCTGTGAGATGGCAGTCACACTTCATGGAGAAAGGGGCTTTGGAACAGAGGCCAGAGCAGCCTCATTCCATAAGAGGAAGGGGCCAGAGCACATATCCTGTTCTATGTACTCTAGTACAGAAAATCAGAGGTTCTCTATTTCATCTCTGCTGCCCCAGAAAATAATACTCATAGGCTATACTCAGATTCTATACAAGTCAGAGTTGGAGGGAAAAGTGTGGCCCTTGTTTTGTATTGATGTTTTATAACTGAACTGATCTGTGTGTGTTGTGCTCTTCTAAGAGCTTTAGAAAATTGCCTGGTCTCTAATGGATTTACAATTTGAGGCAAAAATAGAATTATAGAATTTGAGAGCTGGATAAGAAATATAGAAAAATATAAAGGAACAAGTTGTTTTATATATAAATGCAAAGAAAAAAAAGATGAATTTTTGTTGTTGTTGTTGTTGTTGTTATTTTAGGCAGTGGGGTTAAGTGGCTTGCCCAGGGTCACACAGCTGGTAAGTGTTATGTGTCTGAGGCCGGATTTGAACTCAGTCCTCCTGAATCCAGGGCTGGTGCTCTATCCACTGCGCCAGCTAGCTGCCCCCAAAAAGATGAATGTTAAATGGAACCATCTTCTACATTCTTCCTAGGAATGATCACTCTGATGGGGAAACTCCAGGTTTTGTTTTTGCCTCCATATAAAGGTGCTAGAAAGGAACTTGTTTTAAATTTGAACATATTGTCATTTTTTCTAAAATCGTTTGTCAGGTTAATGCTTGAAGAAAATTATTCATAGTGCTCATGACTAGTGTTCCTGCAACAGAGTTGCTACATTTAGAGCCTTTCAGAGTGACATTGAGTTTTTTCAACAGCTAAAATTGAGCAGAAATACTGTGGACGTTGGTGAATATTCTAGTTATTGTGGGGTTATCTCAATAGCCAAACAAGAACATTCTAATTAAGCCGAATATTGTGAAAGACTTCAACAATTAACCAAATATAGCAACAGTTAACCAGATGTAGTCTTCTGTGCCTTAAAGTTATTGCTAATCAATCAGCAACCATTTATTAAACACTTACTGTCTACCCAGTACTACTAAGATGATATGCCTTCCTTTCCCTCAATTGTTAAGCATAGGGCATCAATACCAATTAGAAATATATATCCAGGGAATGTTCAGGTAGAAAAATCCAGTTCCTAGTGGTTCCTAGCTGTTCATCTGTGAATGAGCAAACTAGAATAAATTTGGGGAGATATCTCAGAAGTGGAGGATGAGTTTTCTGCATGGCATTCTGTAGAGATACTTTTAAGTGTTGAGGAAGAGAGTATTTTTAATGGTAGATTTGCACAAAAAGCAACAAGCCATCATTTACTTCTTAGAAATTCTGAGAATTAAGCTACTTCTGACTTTCCATTTCATCATTAAGTAGCATGCATAACGTTTGGGCTTGCAAAGTTGAACAAACTGATGTTAACTTCTTTATTCCTGAATTCATTGTTATCTGAATTTAATTGTGCTGCTTCTGTGGCAAGTGCTTAGCATATAGGATGATATTATGGATGACATAAATTACTTGATTTTAAAATTCTTCTTTCTTCAAATAGTGATGCTTTTTAAAAAAATTGCTTATTGAAGAAAAAAACCTAGATCCCGTTTCATGTTATTGGGGGCTAATGTCTCGTTCTTATATTAGAGATGAGTTAAGATTAATAAATTATATACATGTTAGAAAATATTTGGGGATGAGGTACTATAGTTATTGTTCTGTCCTTTAGTACATGATGCGTAATAGAACACAATTGTTCAAATTCAACTATATACACTAATTCTGCAGTTATTATGATACAGAGACTTATCGATCATCTGGATTGCTAGACAGTTTAAATCAAAGCAAATTGATTTATATCTAAATAAAGCAATGATTATATTTAAATATAACCTGGAATTTTGTATGTAAGAGATCATGTTGTGATTTGATGGAAATTATAACTTTTATCTCTTTAGCTTTATCCTTGGTAAATTAAAGCTTGTCAAGCTCAATCCTTGGTACATTAAAGATTGTCATTTCTTAAATGAAACTTTCTTGTTTAGTTTCTCATTGAAAAGTTATTTGTCATTTTTCTGATTTTAGACCTGTGGACATTTGGGCTTTAGGCTGCATGATCATCGAGATGGCCACTGGGAACCCCTATCTTCCTAGCAGCTCTGACTTAGATTTGCTCCATAAAATTGTGATAAAAGTAGGTAGGTATTATTGAAATATTTTGTTGCACTAAAGAAAGAAAATGAAACAAAACACATTAATTTGGTTTTCACTATATATTAAAATGCAAATTGCTCAGCCCAGTTCTGCTCATAAAGAATAGCAACTGTTTTTATGCTATGATAGCAAGTCATATTGCTCACAAAGATATTAGCAAATTTGTCCCTAGGCTTATATATATTATAAGTCTATATAAGGTACCAAATTCTCTACTCTACACAAATAACATGCCAGGAAAGAAACTGCTATCCCATGTTGCTAGTTGGTATATGAGAAATGATACATTAGGATTCTTAATTTTGGAGGAAAGATATTACTTAAAAGAACTTCAATGTTAAAAATATTTTTGCTCCCCAAAGGCATTAAGTTTTAGATGAGAAACTATACACACATATATACATACACATTCTTATGTGCATAAATATATATATGCATTTCTCTACTAATGGAATATGTGCATTATTATTCATTCTTTCCAAAATATTGTCCTTTAATTTTAAGTAGCCAAATACTGGAGATAGGGTGGGAACAGAAGTCCTTAAATAATCTTATCTGAAAGTCGGCTTGAAGTATAGAATTAAAACAAATTGTTGTATTAAACAAAATTTCCATGTTATATAGCTAAAATTAATGTGTTTCAAATTCTTAAAAGTTAGAGTTTCCTCTTTCATTTTGTAGAAGTTCTGAAAACCATTTTAAAGGCTAAAAGTTCATACACTTTAATTTTAATTATTTTCATTCATGGTCCAAGTATTCTGTAGAAGTGCATAAAATAATTGTTATTGTGCTGAAGATTCTAGATACTGAATTTTTATGTGTAGATTTATACTATATAGTATACGGCAGCACTAGAAGTTTTCAATGTTACAAAAAATAAATATGCACATGATCATTTTCCTATTTTGGAAGGTTACTTTTTTTTTCTTTCAGCCAAAGACAAAGTTTATTAGAACATCAGTCATATTGGGCAGACTTTTAAGGAATCTGAATGTTAGTGAGCTATTGGCTAGATTGTAAGAATCTGAGCCAGAAGTTTACTTTTTTTTAAAAAAATCCAAAAACATCCTCTAAACATTTTCTAGCTGGGTGTTAAAAGTTTTCTTAGAATGGGGAATACCTCCTTTTTATCATGATGCATTTTTGAAAACTGTGTCATATTGTAGAATTGAAAGTGGACTAAAATTTCTCATGTAACAATTGGGAAGCAGTATTATTGAGCAAAAGCTCAGCTATCAAAGAAGCATCATTGTAACTCGCATTATAACTACAAATAGCTTTCATCCACTGTAATGACTAAATATAGTAAAATTTTCCTCCAAGTCATTGAATTTAAATCTAGAGGGGACCTTAGAATTCCAATCCAACCCTCTTTTGTAGATGAGAAAAAACAAGGCCTAAAGAGGTGAACTGATTTGCCCAAGACTATGTAACTCATTATGGGCATAGGTGAGACTAGAAGTGAAGCTCCTAAATTCCAGTCAGAAGCTCTTTCTACTCCGCCACATTTTCCTTCCTTATAACAAGTTCTATAAATGGGTACAACTTTGCTGCGTCAAAAACCATACTTATGACTAGTACAGTAGCTATACTTTGATGACTCTGTGATCTTATTAATGTGAGTGCTCCCTTCAGCACTGCAGATGACCACTTATTCAAATCTTTTTTATCCTGCGTAACTCTTGTGCATGGCCTCTCATTAATCCACCCCAGAGAGTCCACGCATTGCACTGAGGGCTTTCCTCTAGATCTCTTAATATTGAATGGATACCAGTGTAGCATTTGAGTTGTCTACCTGTTATCCCTTGGTCTTGCTACATGACCAACCCACATCCTTTTCTGGTCTTACATCTCTTCAATTGTATCTTTTATGCCACTTTTGATGTAAGATTTATTGGTAATGTGCTACAGCATATTTATGCCCACTAAACATCTCTTCATTGCCCTTCATGTGACCTGCAACTTTAATTCCTCAGAGACTGGGAATATTTAATGTGAAATTGATTTAATTTAAACACCAGAAGAATAATGGAGTTAAAAATTTAGTCTCTTGTTTCAATGAGAAATTTGGGGTCATTAAAAGCATTGTGTGATTTCCCAAAGACAACCCAGCCTGCGAGTTTCCTATTATTCAATTGTGGGCCCCATTCTGTGTCCATCTGCAGTGTCTAAGATATATGTACTGAAGGACCAACTCTATGGGCTGTCCATCCATTTGCTTATCGTAGTCTGGTACAATGGGTAGCCTTTATCTTGTTTTTTCCTGTGTAAATGTTAGGCCAAATTCTTTTGCATGACTATGGATTTCATTTAGGATGCTCTGCAATATTCCAAGGCTTGATGAAATCAGCATAAAATCCTCCACAAACAGAAGCATTTGGAGGACATCACCATCTATAGATGATTCCTCTCTGCCATTTGAACTCTACAGTGAACATTTTCTGTAATAATGGTGACATATTTGGTGACTGTCTCCTGGTATTATGCTAGAATAAAATTCAGGGAGTTCTCTCTTTTGTGGCATTTTTAAAGGATAACATGATATTAATATATGCGTGAGGGAGACTTTGAGAGAAGAGCCTTCATGATGTCATTTTGCCTTTCCTAGTGAAAATATTATTACCAATAAAAGGCAAAGGAGAAAATATCAAGAAAAAATAAAAAGCACTCCTGACCCTATGTCTGCCTTCCCATTGTTATGAAATTTTTATGAAAACAATGTGCAAAATCATGGAGGCCGTCTTTGATGAAGTTATGGAAAGGGACAAGTTGGCTTTCACAGTACAATAAAACACATCCTATCGTTACCATCTCATAGTTGATGGAAAGGAACAAAGAATGCTCTTATTATTTGTTGACTCAACTAACTAATGATAAGATTAACTTAACTTTTATGTATTTAATAGTTATTACAGCTCCCTTAGAATTTAGAAGGACTTCTGTGAAATGATTGTCTCTTTAAAAAGGTGTTTAGGAAAATTTTGATTAATGCCTTCTTTTTTCTCTGAATGAATTTTCTCTGTAAGCAAGCAGAGGCATTCAGAATCATTCCATTGATTATTCTTTTAACATGTAACATTTATGGCATCTACATCTGTAGATTTTGGTTATAAGGATTTGGAGAAGAGTCTCTTTAACCTGGCCCTTTCGTTCTTTTATGTTATGATCTATGAATCTCAGGGTTTTGTTAACACCAACTGGGGCCCACCTCTTTCTCCTCTCTTCTGCTGCCTCCCTGAATCATCGGCCAGGTAGAGCCATTGCCCAGGTAGGGTCCCTGTGCAAGAACTGATTAATGATGAAAAGTAATCAGAGCAGTAGAGATGAAATGCATTGGGAAGTGATCGTATATGCTATCATCTATGCTAATGTGTTCTAGTGCCTTAAGACATTTTTTTCTTACTTTTCTCTAGCCATAGAGTTATAAAATCTTAAAGCTGGAAGAAACCTTAGCAGTCATCTAGTCCAAACTCCTCATGTTACAAATGAGGAAACTGAAGCCCAGAGAGGTGAAGTGACTTACCCAAAGTTAAGTGTTAGCTACTTAGGCAGAACTGAGACTAGAACTAGAATGCAATTATCTTAGCCCTCTGTGTAGTCTTCTTTCTACTACACTATACTGCAGCTTCATTTCCAATTTTCATTCAGAGTTCCAAATTATTGCCATATTTAAGCTTTTATGAATGTGGCTTCAGGCTAGCTTAATGAATAATAACGAACAGTTAAGATATCCACATAGAAATATTTCCAAGTTTTAATATTTAGATAAAAATTTTTTCTTGTGGTATCAGATCTGCTACCCTCTCTTTTCAGAGAAGGAAAGGAGCCTGGTGGTTTTGCATTAAATCATGCTATAACCTGTTGACATATTAATTAGAAATCCTGAGATATTTATGCAGTAAATTGTTATTTCTTTGTCCAGCTCTAAAAATTAAATATACATAAGCTTTGTTGACATATGCCTATAATTCTAATTATTCTTGCTTTATGTGCAGAAATAGCATTTTGACGATTTAGTTATTTTGACTTTTGTCAGCTTCCTCAACTCTTGTTTTTTTTTTTCTTTTTTCAGGCAATTTGACACCTCACTTGCAGAATGTTTTTTCCAGGAGTCCCATTTTTGCTGGGGTAGTTCTTCCTCAAGTTCAGCACCCTAAAAATGCAAGAAGAAAGTATCCAAAGCTAAATGGATTACTGGCAGACATAGTCCACGTATGTTAGAAGAGATCAGGGGCTTATTTCCCAGAACTGTTTGTAAATTTTAATAGCATTTAAAAAATCCTATTTTAATGGAAATTGAAGTATACTAATATGTAAAAATGTTACTGGAAAAAAGTCGTGTATCTTTACAAATGTGTATCTTAGATATAGAAGAATTAGAATTATCATTTATAGGGCCATAGCATTTACTGGAAGGAATCTTAGAAATCATCTAATCCAACCCTCCCCTTAGGAGCAGAGTTGCGACTCTTATTAAGGTCCCCTGGCATTCAAATTAGCTCAATATTTCTTCCCCTGTACCAGAATGACTTGCTGTTGTAATTAGGGCAAATCTATACAGCAAAAGATAAACAGGTCATCCAATCTACTACAGGAAGCAGAGGATGGATATCTTCTGAGACCTTCCAATGTCCAGAACCTCCTAAAAAACTGGACACCCTATATCTCACATTTCTATCTGCAAGTGGCCTGTGTTATCTGGATTTGGCACTATAATGTCCTATTCTATCCCTGTGGTGTTGGCATGCAGAGATACATTGATGTCAAGTTTTTAATTGAAATGAATTTAAATGAAAACATTATGTACGTCTTTGGAAAAGTGTTATTTTGAACTTCTTATTCTTGGATTTCTGTTGATCCCCAAACACTGAAATATAAAGTATAATTTAGAATTGTTAGTAAACTTTGTAATAGAAGGTAGCTTTTCCAGAAATTATTTGATGGATTGCTGGAAAATACTGTTGGTTTTAAGGTCATACATGCCAAAATGTCTTTTTCTGTTTTCTCCTTTTCTTAAAAAAAAAGCCAAAAACATTTATTTATTTACTTTTCGTTTTCAACATTTACTTTTATAAGATTTTGCATTCCAAATTTTTCACCTTCTTCACCTCCCCCCACCCCAAGATGGCATGCTATCTGATATAGGCTATACTTTCTGCTTTCTTAATTCCCTAAATTATGTTATTCAGCTAATATCTGATTAATTGACTATAGAAGAGTCTGGGTTAGGCAGGCATTTTACAGTTTTTCCTTATAAAACTTTACCAATGGATCTTCATCTTGCTCTAAAACTACCTACATAATTTTAGCTAGTGACAGTTTTAAGAATATAAGGATATTCATATCACGTATTAGGTAATGGTTTCTTAATTCTATTTTATGATTCAATTCAAGTTTATGCCTTTTTTTTTTTAGGCAATTGGGGTTAAGTGACTTGCCCAGGGTCACACAGCTAGTAAGTGTCAAGTGTTTGGTCTGAGGCCGGATTTGAACTCAGGTCCTCCTGACTTCAGGGCTGGTGCTCTATCCACTGCACCACCTAGCTGCCCCCAAGTTTATGCCTTTTGAAAGGAAGAGTAAAATATTGCATGATCTGTAATTTTTTAAGGGAACTGTGAAATGTAAATTATTTAGGGACATTTATTACATTTTGGCCCCTTTTTTGTTATTTTGGCTTATAAAATGGTTTCATTTGTAATTATAATATAATTGATCTTTTATTATTTAAAATTTTGTGATCTCACTTATATGTTTTCCAAACACCTTGTTTCTTCCTTCTATTGTCTGTGTTTAGGGCTATTTCTTTGATCAGTGTTACTTCTTCTGAGAACAGAGAAAAGAGTAGGACTATTCTGCTGAAGGCTGAAGTCTTACTAAAGTGGAATTGCATGGTACTATCTTGGCTAAGAGTAAAAAGACTTGGGTTCTGGTTCTAGACTTGCCTTGCCATGTCACTAAATCTCTGTTGCAGTTTTCTCAGGTGTAAGATGGAACTTTTAGTATCTGCCCTACTTTTGTAAAGAGTTATAACAATCATATGATAAGCAGCTGGTATAGTGAAAGAAGCCCTGGATTTAGACCTAGGTTTGAACCCTGACTCTACTATTTACTGTCTACACGTTCTTGGGCAGGTTTTCTCTCTGGGTTTCAGTTCTTTCATCTATAAAATGAAGGGTTGGACTAGATGATCTCTAAATACATGACCCCTTTCAGCTCTAAATTCTACCATTCTATGACAATCTTTTACATTTGTAAGGTATTTCGTAGTTATTAACTAGCTTTCACATATATTGTCTCATCATATTAGCTCACAATAGCTTCATGAGATAAGAATAGCATATTTTAGGCCCATTTTATATGTGAGAAAACTGAGCCTCACAGACTTTAAAGTGTCTTGTCTATAACAACACAGCTATTTAAGTCCTAACTGTGGAATTAGTACTTAAAATTCAGGTTTTCTAACTGCTAATCAACTATTCTTTCCACTATAGCTCAAGATTGGAAATTTGCTGCATGTATATTTTTAATCTTGATCATTTTAGCCAAAACCAGTAATTCAGTCCCCAGCATCTCTTTACCAGAACTCTCCATATATTTTTCTAAGTGACCATAACATCAGTGTTTTGTGTTACTGTGTTAGTTACATGCTTGACTTATATAAATCTACCTTTACACCCTGTAGCACGGAACATTTTAACCTGTGATAATAGAACTACTTAATATAATTTAGGTAAATTGGTAGGGGTAGGGAGGGGGAGAAGAGGATTACTGGGTCCTAATTTTATCTTTTTAATGGTTCAGGCCTTGGCAACCCCATTTTTGCTTAGTTGTAAAAAAAAAAAAGGAGAACCAGGAGAACATTGTGCACAGTAACAGCCACGTTGTGCGATGACTAACTTTGATAGACTTAGCTCTTCTCAGCAATGCAAGGATCTAAGACATCTCCAAAGGTCTCATGATGGAAAATGCTATCTCCATATCCAAAGAAAGAACTATGGAGTTTGAATACAGATTGAAGCATGCTATTTGCTATTTTTTTTCTTTCTGTTTTGTTTCATTTTCTCTTTCTTGTGGTTCCTCCTCTTGGTTCTAATTCTTCCTTACAACATCACTAATGTGAAAATATGTTTAAGAGGAATGTATATGTAGAACCTGTATCAGATTGCATGCCGTCTTGGGGAGGGAGTGAGGAAAGGAGGGGGAGAAAATTTAAAACTCAAAAGCTTATGGAAGTGATTGTTGATGAATCAAAATAAATTAATAAAAAAGAGCTAATGCCTACTGTGCTCTGTAAAGAAATTTGTAAAGTAATTTTAACCTTATTTTATTATTTTCCAGGCTTGTTTACAAATTGATCCTGGTGAAAGGGTGTCATCTACAGATCTTTTGAACCATGACTATTTTACTAGAGATGGGTTCATTGAAAGGTAAGCATTTAAAGGTTTAAAAAATTTTTTTTAAATTAAAACTTTTATGTCATAAGAGTTGACAGATTTCTTTAGGGTCTTGTCTACTGGAAATGTCTGTAATGTGCATAGCTATAGATGGTCATGTGTGTTAGAAAAGAAAACGAATTAAAGTGAGTCTATATGTATAAACTTTAGAGATCATAAGCTAGTGGTAGTCAATTGGATCAAACAACAGGAATTTTGTCTTTAGTCCCATTGGGAACATGGATTTATTGTCCAGTGCTGACTAATCAAGGACAATGATACTGCCAAAGCACAGTGATGGTTCTTTTCTCTGTCCTTATATAGCAGTGGTAGTCCCTGTACTGTACAATGTAGCATCTACATTACAGGATCATAACTTTAAAGCTTAAAGGGATCTTAGAGATCATCTATTCCAACCTTTTAATTTTAGAGATGAGGAAACTGAGACCTAGAGTCCGGAAGTGGTTTACTCAAGGTCACCTAAAGAGTAAGGTACAGAGCTGAGATTTTAACTTAGGTATGGGTCTCGATAATACAATAGATAGAATGCTGGGCTTGGAGTCCAGAAAACCTGAATTCAAATCCAGCCTCAAACACTTACTAGCTGTATGATGCTGGCACATTCTCTCTGTTTGTCTCAGTTTCCTCAGCTGTGAAATGGGGTTAATAATAACACCTACCTCCCGGGTTGTCTCAAGAGTCAAATGAGACAATATTTGTAAAGTGCTTAATACAGTGCCTGGCACATAGTAGGTGCTTAATAAATGCTTGTTCCTTGTCCCCTTCATCTCTAAAATGAGGGGGTCAGTGGTCTCTAAATCTTAGATCCTTAGACTTATAGAATAAATTTATTCTATAATTGTTTTTTGTACATTAATCTTATTTTCCCCTATTATATTCATTTGTTTGTTCATTCATGAATAAACATTTAGTAGTTGCACACTGTGTGCTGAACACTGCTAGGTACTCTTCAGGGAGACTCAGAATTTAGATAAAGCATTGGTCTTTGCCCTTATGAAGCCTGTAGTCTAAGGGGGGTGGGTGGGTGATAAGGGGAGGAGGAAGACAGGGAACAAGTATCTATTAAATAGCTACCCCATGCCAGGCACTGTGCTAAGTGTACATAATATCAAAGTGCTAGGTGCAGACAACAACAAATATTGTCTGATTTGATTACCCAAGACACATACAGCTAACTGTAAGATAAAATATCACAGCTAAGTGCTGTGAAGTATGAAAGAAAAGATAATTACCAATAGGGGGTGAGACTCATGGAAGAAGAGTGTCTGAAGTGAAATTTAACAAAAAGGTAAAACTGAGGCATGTTTCTCTGAACAAAATAATATTTTATTAACAAGGGCACCAACCTGCCAATAGAATGGGTCTAATGACTGCCTTGATTACCCAAAAAAACAAAGAATTAATGGTGCAACTAATTTTTATAAGCATAGAACAAAGAACAGAACCAAGTAGGTGAGGAAATCATACCGTTGGTATGGGTTGGCAACATCATTGGGAGTGAGGGATCATGATTGGTTGTATTAAAGAAAGTGGACATACAGACATGTAGGATTGGGGTCAGCCAACTCTGTCTTGAAGGGAATGCTTTGTGAATTTATGAGGCCCAGTTTCACCCTTAGGTCATTGATAGTGGGCTAGGAGTAGTAGACTCATGGGTGCCTGGGAATGAGATTAACACCTTTAATTGGTAAGGATGAGGTTAAGGTGGAATAAGATCAGCTTGTCTACCCTCAAGGATAAACACAGATGTCATGGAGTTTCTCAGGAGCTGGAGTTATAAGGGAGAACAAGCCTCCTTGGCAAAAAGTGATTTGCAGGTGGTGCTGGGATAACAATTTGTGTGGTACAGCTGCCCAAAAATAACACTCAGAGATTTTCTAGGTATAAAATGAAAGATTTATTACGTTCTCGCGTGAAGCGGGAGACTGCTTCGTCGGCAGTCCGAGCCAAGGCAGAAAGGCCAGGACAAAGGTTATATAGCCCTAAGGCAGAGATACCTACCTACCACTGGCTTTGAATTCCCATTGGATAGGAATTTCAGCCTTACAATCTAAAACACAAAAATCTACCCCAGAAACAAGAAACCACATTATAATACTACCAATCCTAGCTATTTATCCTTACTTAGTAATTAGCCATTACCTAATGCTGATGTAACAATACAAATCATATGATTTCTAGGAACCTGAAACTTAGGCCTATTCAGGTTAGTGTAACCAACCTCCAGTTTGCAACAGTCTAAGACATTGCTACACTCAGTCCATCTGAGAGATCTCACATTGTTTACGTTGTTTTACTCAGTTAAAAACCAGAGTCTTGACAAAAGTTTGCAAAAAGGAGAGATCTCTTTATTGACTTTCCCGAGAAAGTGTACCCCCGTGCTGCCTAAGCTGCCCCGAGAGTGTGAGTGCTCTTTGTTTAAGGAAAGATTATATAGACCCTAATGCAGCAGCCCACCCTAACCCCCTCCCGTTGGCTCATTGGCTGAGCCTCAGGTATACAATCTATTCGTGTAAAAACTACCCCAGTAACAGAGAGAACAAAGAGGTATAGAAATTATGTTAGCATGTTCCCCTTTTCAGGGCCTCACAGTTTCAGCAGCCCTTTACCCAAGGTCATATAACTAGCTAGAGGATGAGATAGATAGTATGTTCTTATGGCTCAGGAATTTCTGCTAAGAAATTCTAAGAGTAGGGGAGGGAGAAGGCTGGGGGAGGGGGTCTTGTATTCTGAGGGGTCTTCACTTAGTGTTGGTACACATGTACCACTCAAAAGCAACAATACCAGAACCATTAACAAGAACTAATGACCCTTTAAGGAGGCTTCACTTCTGAGAGATCATCTCTCACAAATTCTTTTAGAGTTAGAGTGTTTTATGAGAATATTGAACCTCTTAAACTTAGCTCAGAGTTTTTCTTTAACGTTGATTGTGGGAAAGTTTAAACCTTTGCATCTAACTTGAGAGAAGAGAGACTAAACTTTTGAACTCCTGAGCTTCTATACTCAGAGACAGAAAAAAAGGATTAGGCTGTTATGTATAACACAGAATAGAGTTACAGAATAGGATCAATTACAAAATATAAAAAACAGAGTCAATGTCTAGCTTCCACAGGAGGAAACATTTGGGTTGAGCTTTAAAAAATGGGTAGGGATTCAACAGGTGAAAATGGGAGAGAGAGAGAGAGGCTACCCTATGAATAAAGGTCAGAACAAGCAAAGGCAAAGCCAGAAAAACAGAGAACATGTATATGGGGTAGAGAGTAGTCCATTTTGTCTGGATCAGAAAGTTTGTAGGGATTATGAGAAGGCTGAAAATATAGGGTGAATTAAATTGTGAGGAGCAGACAAGGCAGTTTTCAATTTACTGAATTTATCCTGATATTAACTAATCAGAGACAATACTATTCTAGTACCTGTTGATGGCTTGACTCCTTGCCATTATTGTTTTGTTTTTTAAGTTGTCTTCTTTTTTATTATGAATGTAATCAAACACAAATATTTTGATATACAGAAATGAATAAAAAGAGGGTTATGTATATAAATGTTATATACATTTTAAAATAATTTTAAAAAATTTTAAACTTAAATGTAGAATGAGAAAAGGAAAAAAATACATTGCCATGTACACAGTAGACCATAAGAGAGGATTCAATATAAAACAATAAATTTCCATTTCAAGAAAACCTGTATAATAAATATTTCACAGTGTTTTCAAAGCTGCCCAGCTTTTCTTTGCATCTTTGTTGGCTCTCTTTTGTTCTCTGCTGTACACTTTTTACTTTATTTCCCCCACCACCACCAAAGAAGGCTACAATTAAGTATGGACATACACACACACATACGTGTATATATATAGTATGTATATATGTGTATATATATCTGTAAAGATATATAGGTATACACATATACTCTCATACACAAAAATGTAAGATGGTACTTTGCTTATTTCCACCTGTGTTGTGTCTCTGGAGGTGGATAACATCTTTCATAGGTCCAAGTCTTTCCTTGTTTTTCTAAATCAACCAGCTCATCATTTCCTACCCCACAGCAGTATTCCAATCACATCCTTATCTGAGAGATTGTCTATGAAAGTGTTTTCCCAATTTTCTACTTTACTTCTATCCTTGGCTACATAGGTTTCATTTATACAAGAAATTTTTCATTTAAAATAATAAAAATTATCTTTTTTATACTTCAACAGTGCTTTCCTTTACAATATAGTTTAAGGTCTGATATTGCTGAATCTACTTCCTTTACATCTTTTTTCCTAGTTTCTTTGAAGTTCTTGATCTTTTGCTCTTCCAAATGAACTTTGTTCTTATTTTTTCTAACTCAGTAAAATAATTTTTTAGTAATTTAATTGGGATAACATTGAATAAATAGATTAGTTAGGTAAAATTGTCATTTAAAAATTATATTGGCTTTACCGACCAATGAACAATAAACATTACTTCAGTTGTTTAGATATGAGTTTATTTATACAGAAAGTGTTTTATGTTTATGTTCATATAGTTCCTGTGTCTGTTTCGGCACGTATACACTTAAGTATTTTATACTGTCTAGATATTTTAAATGCTCTAAAACAGAGGTGGGGAACCTTTTCATGTTAGAAGGCTGCATTAATATTTAGCTGTAATCAAATAAGGCTGCATTCAAGAAATAAGGCTGCATTCAAAAAATTAGATAGACTTAAAAATGCACATTATTTTGAAAAATATAACTACTATATACTTAGTAATTTCAAAAAATGAAAACCGTTGAAATTACTAAGTATATAGTAGTTATATTTTTACAAAATAAAGAAATATTCAAGTCATTTTGATTTGACATATTACACAGAAATGCAGCATTCCTATGGAAATCTTCTTTTCATAAATCACATTGCTGATTCTGTTCATAAAATTTAACTATCTGTTCTCGCAGAGATAAAATTTTGGCTAACACCTGTCCCTGTGATAGTCAGTGCACTTTAG